TTTTTTTCTTCTTTCCTCTTCTTCTTGTTTTGATCATCAAGGAAGTTCTTAATCGATAAACAGTTCAACAATCGTTTTAAACTTTTACAGTTGACTACCCCCTATTCACTCATTACATCCACTGAAATAATGCAAAAATTTTTATTGAACTTTTCTTGTTTTGTTTCTTTTTAGTCCATCAACTATTCCCTTACCTCCCTATCCCCTCCCCCTTATCCACCGGCTCATTAAATTTTTTTCTCTACATTTAACAATGCAGCGTTTTACTGCAGTAAAAAGAAAATTGAAATTAGAGGAAAAAGTTGTAAATGTTTAGATAATTGTGCCAGTATATTACGTGTATTTGCGTGTATGTGTATGTGTGTCTGTCCATGTATTTGTGTGTATGTTTTTGCATGTGTGCATGTTAGTGTCTGTTTGTATTTGTGTGTGTATATGTTTATGGACAGATATGTAGCAAATTTGTGTTGAATTTGACACAAGGCATTTGTGAAGCCAAATCCATAAATGAACCAAGTGGAAGACGACGGAGTGAAAAAGAGGCCAAAGTGGCAGGCAGTATGGGACAGAAGATCATCGAACATCGTCAGCTTGATTATGCTTGCACAATTTTACCAGGCTGTCATTATGCATAAGCCCTGTCATTACTAGTTTTCAACCACAAATTGGTTTGCTTTTGGCTCTCCTCCATTTCCACCCTTTAACCGTCCGTCCGTCCGTCTGCCTGCCCATCCGCCCGTACGTCCATCCGTCCATTTGTCCCTCTGTGTAACGCCCGCTTGCTGCTGCTGCTGCTGCTTCTTCTTCTTGATCCCGTCCATTCGTTCATGCGTTCATCCGGCTGCTTATTTATTTATTTTTTTTTTTTTTGTCCCAACAATCGTATAAACACCGACAGCAGCACTGTAATTAATTTGATGGGAGCTTAGCATCCCTCGGCGGGGCAATAAGCACAGTAGCGTTGCCATTAAATTTTAGGTATTCCAAACAAAAAATTTTCACAACAACAACAACAACAACAACAACAACAACAACGATAGCGACGGTTTTAAAGTGAGCACTGTTTGGTTGACTGTAAAAGCTGCAAAAGAAAATAGAAAACGCACTTGCTTAATACACAGTGTTGCTTTTGACCCCCTTCTCCCCTGTATACCTCCTTCTTTAACGATCTTTTTGGCCCGGAAAAAGCAACAAACGGCTCAGAAAATAAACGGAGCCAGGAAGAAAAAAAAGAACCCAATAACGAAAGATTCTCAGTGCGTACAAAAAAGCAGGAGCAAAAAAGTGCTGCCCGATTGGCAATCCATATCGTACACCTTTACCTCGGCCTAACGATGAATACTGTTGTGAATGTAAACGAGATAAAAAAGACGGATGAAAAAAAGTAGTGATACATTATGTAGAACCAAAACAGCTAACTACAACTAAATGGCAAAATGTAAGGGAAAAAAAAATTTTTTTTGTTGTATGTGTGTGTGTGTGAGGAAAGATTAGATCAAATACAATTATATTTTGCTTTTTTTTTCCCTCTCCCCTCCCCCTTTATTTGATTTCTTCAACAAGTAACTCAAAAGAAAAAAAATTGGAAAAAAATATTTGACGAAATAATATGATCCACAAAAACGGGGAGAAGAAAGGGGTAAAGGAGTGGTGAAAGTAGTGGTGAAGAAGAGAAAAGATAGCAAAAAAAATCTTTTTTTTTTTTTCAGAAAAGTATACAAATTTTGTAGTATATTTTAATATAACAATATATTTATTCGTTTCTATCACCAAAGTATCAATAAGATAGAGCAGGAAACTAAAACTATATCAAACAAAAACAAAAAAAAAAAAAGAAAGAAAGAAAACGAGAAACAAGAAATTGGTTTGTAAATTTTTCTTTTTCCAATTTGTTTCTTGTTTTTTTTTTTTCTTCTTCTTCTTTTCTTTCGTGCAATAACTTTTTGCCTGTCCAAAAGTAACTTTTAACAATTGGTCACTAACAAACATCAAAAAAAAGAAATGACGTAATAAAAATGCAAAATTTTTAGGCAAGAAGAAAATATCTTTCCTTCTCTCTCCATCACTAAAACAGTTTATTTAATGTCAGATAAAAATAAAAAAAAAAAAACAATATTTGAAATAGTTTTGTTTTTTTGTTTTATGGTGTGTAATGAGGAAAAAAAAACGTTGGTTGGTCATCAAAATCATCATCGTCACTGGTGGCAATCAGTCAGTCAGTCAGTCAGTCATCAGATCATCGTCACACTGTCAACCATCGTCTTCAGTTGATACCAGTGACTGCCAACTATGCCCAATGATTTTTTAGAAGCTTTTCAAATTATTCTTATTTGTATTCTTCTATTGCTGGGCTAAAAGTTGTATTCTAAGGAAAAAAAATAAAGTTCTTTCCTTTTTTTTTTTTTGTTGTATTATATAGCCAACAACAACAACAACAAACAACAAAAAATACATCCAGTTGAAAACCAATTTGAAATTCCAAGGAAATTAAGTGCAAATTAAATGTTTACCAGATGATTTGGGTTTCATTCCGCTTTTTTTCACTTACCCTCTCCTTTATCCACCGTTTCTCTATCCTACCAACTTTCCTCCATCTCCTTCCCTCCTCCTCCTGTTTTCACCTTCCCCACCTCACCTTCT